TTCTATTTTTCTCTTATTTCTTTCTATTTTTTCTCTTTCCCTATTTCTTTCTTTCCATCTATTTCTTTCTCTTTCTTTTTCTATTTTTTCTTTCCCTTTCTATTTCTCTTTTTCCTTTTATTTCTCTTTCTTTTTCTATTATCTTTTTCTCTTTTTTTCTTGCTTTCCATTTCTCTCTCTCTTTTTTTCTATCTCTCTCTCTCCCCCTCCATCCCACCCCACCCCCTTCCCAGCCACCAAAGACAGGCCCTCCCCCACACCCACCATGGCTGAAACGGTGAAATCTCGGGCGTGCATCTTCTCCGTCAGCCAGTCCACCTTCCTCCGGGTGTTGATGAAGATAACTGCCTGGGTGATGGTCAAAGTCTCGTAGAGATCGCAGAGGGTGTCCAGCTTCCACTCCTTGCAAGAGGAAGAGGCAGTGGTGAGAGAATTAAGGGAAGGAATTAAGAGTTTTGGCAGCTCAGGGGGCGGTGGTGTTCAACTTGTGGGGGTTGGTCCTTAAGGGCTGGGCCGCCTTGCAGGCATCTCATGACCCGGGCTAGGGAGCATCCTCAGTGCTAGAAGGGAAGGATTGGGAAGAGGAGGAGGGGGGGGAGAAGGAGGGGGATGGGGTCCTTGGTGCTCTCAGAGCTTTTTTTTGGGGGGGGGGGAGAGGAGTGTTTCTGGCAGGTGTCTCATGACCCAACTAGGGAACATCCTCAGTGCAGTGGCACTGAGGATGTTCCCTAGTTTGGATCACAAGACATCTGCAAGAAAACAAATGTGTAAGAGAGCCTCTAGAAACTGAGAGCAGCGAGGAAAAAGAACAGCGAGAGCCTGTTCCCAGGGCGCGCATGCACAGAGCTGCCAAAAGGCAAGAACGGTTAACACAAAAGGGGTGACTGCGGAAGTCAGGCTGGGAGAGGATTGCCCCCCCCCAAGACATAAAAGGAGGAGCAAAGGGACAGGAGCCTTTGCAGGAAGCAACTTCTGTTTGCTCCTGGTCGGTTTGAAATGCTTGAAGCTCCCTCCGTGTGGACTCTGAACTCCGTTTGGCCTCGTCCAGTGAATGGGGCCCTTTATAGTCATCGGCAACATTTCAAGGGAGATTAAGGTGGGTACCGATCAGCCTTCTCCCAAAGGATTTTGGCACAGGCTATTCCTAAACTGTTTGGGACTCATTATGGGCTGGGAAGGCCTAGAATTCCCAGCTGTTGAAATAACAATCATTTTAAAAAGGGGGTGGGGTTTTTTTTTTGCAGCCAGAAGGCGGCTGGCTCAAGGGGCTTTTGTGCACCAGTGTGTGTGTGTGAGCCCAGTCAGAAGCTCCTGAAATAACCACAGCGTGAAGCTCCCCTCCCTCCCCTCCACAAAACCCTCCTTGCGCACTACTCACCTCCCTCTCCACGTTAATATAGAATTGCCGGATCCCCTCCAAAGTCAGCTCTTCTTTCTTCACTAGGATACGGATGGGGTCTCTCATGAATTTCTTGGTTACTTCCAGCACATCCATCGGCATGGTGGCAGACAAGAGGACCACCTAAGTGTTTGGCGGGGGGGGGGGGGGAGAGGGGGGAAAGGAGAGCTCAGGCTTCTTGCCTGCTTTAGCCAAAAGCCCCTTAAACACCCCCACCTCCCCAGCCAGCCCTTTTTTGCTTCCTGAAAACGCCTCCATCCGAGATTCATCCTTTTTATAAACATTTGTGGATTTCTCAACTCTCTGAATTCTGGGAGGTGACGTCCAGAAATCTTAAAAAAGCTGGCAAGGCTGGAGACACCCCCTCCCCTCCCTCTATAAGTTTCCTGCTTGGACTAGGAACAGGGGTCTCCAGCTTTGAGACTGGAGGACTCCGATTCCCAGAATTCCCCAGACAGCTTCGCTAAGACTTCAAGTCTCTCTGCCTGCTTGCTCTCTTTGTCATCCCTTCTTCTGCAATCTCTCCTCTCTAGGGAGAAGAAAACAGGCATGGTTGAATGGGGAATTCTGGGAGTTTAAGTCCACCAGGCTTAAAGTGGCCAAGTTTGGAGACCCTTGGTCTAGAGTGGAGAGATTGCAGAGGAAGGGATGACAAGGGAGTAAAGCAGGCATGGAGAGTTGGAAGTCTAACGAAGTTGGCTTGGGGAATTCTGGGCGTTGGGAGACCCCAAGTCTTAAAGTTGCCAAGGTTGGGGACCCCTGGACTAGAAAGACCTCCAAGATCCCTTTCAACTCTTTGTTACAATGGATTCTGAATAGGGCAATGTGAAGTGGGCCTGGTGAAAGACCCTCTCCCCGTTTGGAAAGGGGAAGACCCTTTTAACAAAATCTTGGTTTTGCCTAGGATGCGGCTCATCAATTCTGGGAGTTGCTGAAGTTAGAGACCCCCCTCTCTCCCAGAAGATGGCCGCCCTAGAGCAGCCCCCCCGCCCTCCTCCCCAAATAATGAGACAAGTTCAAAGAAGCCAACCCCGCTCCGAAGGAACGGAATGGCCTGGATTTGCACAGGTGGCCCTCAGGAGGGGCCTTCACACCTGTGTGTTGCCGCTCAGCTTCTGGAATATATCGTAAATCTGGTCCTTGAAGCCTCGGCTCAACATCTCGTCGGCTTCATCCAGCACAAACATCTTGATGAACTTGGGTGCTGTGGAAAGAAAGGAAGGAAAGAAAGAAAAATCAGGCAGGAGGAAGCTGAGAAGGAGGAAGACGAGGAGCAAGCTGCTGGTCTCAGGGATGTTATCCAGGTATGATCACTTTCCCCTTGGGATTCCTCTTCCCCTGCCCAGCAGAACGAGGGCGGGGGGAAATAAATGGGGGGGAGGGGGGTCAGATGACACGCATGGGGGAATCATCATGGAACAGCAGGAGGAGGAGGGAAGGAGGGCAGCCAGGCTCCCGAGAACCACTGACAGAGAGGAAGGCAAGAGCACAGACCAGCAGTCCTTCGACTTACAACGTTCCCCTTAAGGACCGTTTGAAGTCACGGGATCACGAAGTCCAAAAAGCTGGATTCCCTGAAACCTGGTTACTAACTTATCAAGGGCATGGACTTGCTTAACAACCAAGGCAAGAAAGGGTCATAAAAAATTTTTGGGTTGGGGGGAGAAGGACTCACTTTAACAAATGTCTGAGTTATACAACAGGCCTCAAGCTCCATTGTGGGCGTAACTCTCGGCTCCTAACGAATGTATCTTTTCTTTTATGTATACTGAGAGTATTTACACCAAGACAAAATCCTTGTGTCCAATCACACTCGGCCAATAAAGTATTCTGTTCTGTTCTATTCTTCATTCCATTATTCTATTCTATAATCCATTCTATTCTTCATTCCATTATTCTATTCTATAGTCTATTCTATTCTCTTCTATTTTCTCTTCTATTCTACATTCCAATATCTATTCTATTCTATTCTATTCTATTCTATTCTAGGACCACCCACACAGGTATGCACAGCCAGAACTGAAAATTCCCCACCCAAGCCTACCTTTTCCCTCCCTTAGCTGCATCCCATCACTGTCCACACCTCCCCCCAAAACACGTGCAAAATCAAATTCAAACAAGATGTTTTTCAGGAGGGTCACTTCGAATTTGGTTCCCCTCCCACCCAGCCCTGCCCAGAGTCATGTTCATGGAGGGCAAGATGGCAGGTGAGACACACCCACCAACATCCACACCCATGAAGGAAGAGCCTTGGGAAACGAGCGTCCCAAAGCAAGGCTCGTGTCGTGTCTTGGAGCCTTCTGTGTGTGTAGGGCGAAATGGGGGGGAAGACCCCCCCAGTCTCTCCCTGTGCCATTAAGAGTGTACTTTTAATGAGTAGATTAATATGTCCTTTTTTGAAAAATTCAATGAAATTAAAAAGGGGGAAAAACCATGCAGAATCTGACATATATGCTATGCAGTCGTAAAGGGATTATTGAGTTTAATGTTTTAGGTAATAATGCTAAATGTTTAATGGGATTTAAAATTAATATGTAATTTAGAAGTGGCGCACTTATATTGAAATTTCGGGGGGGGGGGGGGGGGAACCAATTTATTGCACAGGGACAGATAGGAAAGCACTCCAGAGGGTTAATGTCATTGCCCAGAGGATCATGGGTTGCCCTCTCCCCTCTTTTGAAGAGCTTTATAGCTCACACTGCCTTTAGAAAGTTCAAAACATCCTTAAAGATCCATCTCATCCTCAACACCCCCCCCCCTTTTGAACTATTACTATCTGGCAGATGGTACAGGAGAATAAAAACAAGGACGAAGGTTCAATTTATTATAGGGCCTGGGATGCGTGGTTTAGAAATAAAAAAAAATAAGATGGCAATTAGGAAAAGAATGAGGGAATATGTAAATATACCATGGAGAAGATTGACATGTTAGGATAAAAAATATTGATTTATAGTAAGAGTAAGATGTAATGATAAAGGAATAAGTAAATACATATACTGAAAACCGTGAGGAGATACAAGAGATGTCTTGATGTTGATAACAATGTATAAAGTTTTATTTTTTGTTTCTAAAATTTGGAAACTTAATAAAATTTATTAAAAAAAACCGCAAGGACAAATAGGCTGAAAAACAGCTTCTTTCCCAGGGCGGAAGCTCTGTTGAATTCTGCTGTATAGTGCAGTGTTGGTGTGGTGTCAGGGGGTTTCCAGTTCAATGTGTGAAGGATGTGTGTTTGTGTTTTATTTTCATGGTCATGATGTGCACTGAAGATGGTGTTTGATTTCGTTGTAGGAGGTGCAATGACAATAAAACTAAACCAAAGTATAATGATTACGAAGTTAACATAAATGAATTCAATAATAAGAGAACTATTTTGAATACCATGCTAAAATAGAAAATGTGTAAAAGCATTGCTAAGAAACCGGATACAAAAATTGAATATGTAACTAGTGTCACATTTGCAGGTCTATGTGAAAACTGTAATCATGCCTGTTTCACTAAAGAGAGATGTTAAAATGTGGAAAATTGAATAAAACTTGTTTAAAAAAAAAGAGTGTGTACTCACAAAGGTATCTTCTGTTCAACATGTCGAAGACCCGCCCAGGAGTCCCCACAATGATATGGGGCGCTTCCATCTGCAGCTTCTGAACTTCGGCCCGGACGTTCGTCCCTCCTATGCAGGCGTGGCAGGAGGCCCCCATGTAGTCGCCAAGAGCCATTACCACCTTCTGGATCTGGGAGAAGGAGGCCGTCAAGAGATGGGGGGGAGGGAAGAGGAGGAGGCTGGGTGTCCTTGAGGAAGCCTTCCCGTTTCCCCAGCATGAACCAGCCACTGGGAGAGACGCTGGGCTGGGATGAATGAGGAACAAGCTTGCTGTCTCCCTGCTAGATGTAAGAAGGTGCCACGGCCAGAGGCTCTTCTTTGCCCAGTTAGCAGGGAGGGGGATGGAGGGGGTTGCCACCAACTGGTGTGCAATTCAGATGGAGCGTTCCAAGCCCACCCCCCCTCAGTTTCCCAATGGCTCTTTTGACACAACTGGGGACCTTTCGTGCATTCAAGGAAGGAAGCTGGGCAGGCAAAAAGAAAGGGAGGGAGAGAGAGAGAGAGAGAGAGGAACAGAAAGAGGGAAGGAAAGATGAACAGGGAGAAAGAAAGAAAGAAAGAAAGAGGAAGGAAAGAAATGGAGAAAGACACACAGGGAGGAAGAGGAAAGAGAAATGGAAAGACACAGGAAGAAGCAAGAAATAGAGGAAGAGGAAAGAAAGAAATGGAATGATGACGAGGGAGAAGGAGGGAATGAGAGGGCAAACAGGGTGAAAGGAGAGCGGGGGAGAGAGAGAGAGACCGACACCCACCTGCTGAGCCAGCTCCCTAGTTGGGGCCAGCACCAAGGCCTGGGTCGCTTTCAGGTCCAGCTCAACCTGCTGCAAGATGGAGATGGCAAAGGTGGCTGTCTTCCCAGTGCCAGACTGGGCTTGGGCGATCACATCATATCCTGGAGAAGGGAAGAGGATCAGAGTTAATCAGAGTTAGCCACAGCTGGCCCACTCCAGGCAGAAGCCCAAAAGCCCCACTTCAGTGTGTCTCCCCAGCATGAACCAGTGAGCAGCCACTGGGAAGGACGCTGCCCTGGGATGAAATGGGGCTGGCTCCTGTCCCCCTGATAGATGTAAGAGGGCAGCCATGGGGAGGGGCGCCTCTTTGCCCATTAGCGGTGGGGAGGGGAAAGGGGGCAGGAAGGCCCCAGATGCATTCTCATTTTGGGGGACTGGCTTGCCAACTTGACAAAACTCAGAAGCAGAGCTAGTCTTCCCCCCCCCCCTCCCCCAAGAACTGAACCCCTCTGTTGCAAGTCTGAGCAGCAACTATTCCCCTTCCAAGGTTAACTTCTCTTCCCTGCTTAGGACAGATGCAAATCCAAGAGCAGAAAGGAAGGATGGGACTCACTACAATGGGGGGAGTGTCTTCCGACTTGACAGCAAGACTGGTGGACTTGCAACTCCCAGAATTCCTCCTCCAGTCAGGTCAGCTCAGGAATTCTGGGAGTTGAAGTCCACCAGTTTTAAAGCTTAAAGACCCTTGAAATAAATCAGATACTGTAAATGATTGAAATGACAGATAACTATAGAAAAATGATATCTATAGAAAGATACATGATAACTATAGAATAACAGATTATAGAAGGATGAGAACTATAGAAAAATGATAGATTATAGAAAGATAACTATAGAAAGATAGAACTAGACAGATGATAACTATAAAAAGTCAGACAACTGTAAGATGATAGGTAGGTAGAGGTGGATATATTGGACAGAGTGAGAGATTGATAGATGGGAGATGGATGATAGATAGTAGTTAGAGGTGGATAGATTAGAGAGTGAGTGATTGTTTGAGATGGCTGGATGGAGAGGGAGAAAGATAGATGGGAGATGGATGATCAAGGGTCTTCCAATTCGACAGCTTTAAGACTTGTGGACTTCAACTCCCTGAATTCCTCCCCCAGTCAGCTTAGCTCAGGAATTCAGGGAGTTTGAAGTCCACCAGTCTTTAAACTTGCCAAGTTTGAAAGCCCCTTAGACTACAACATACTCCAGGATTCACCTAACTGCCCCCCACCCCATCCCCAGAAACTTGTGTGAAATTTTTACACATTTCCCTTCCTGGCCCAAGTATGGCTAGGAGTCCCTGGTGCTGTGTAAGCCTATAGATTATTTCCATACAGATGTTGTGTTACCCAAACTAGGTAACGACACTCGTGCTAGAAGGCAGTGCGGGTTGGCTTGGGGAAACCTGCAAACCCCCACACTCGGTAGCACTGATGCTGTTCCCTAAGTTGGGTCATGAAATGCCTTCCAGAAAGTCAAGCCAGGATGTGTATTGTTAAGGCAGCCTCTGTGGTTTCTCAAGAGGGCTGGAAGCCACCATGGGTTTTCTTTCTGCTCTGCTTGGAGGTCTTTGTCTAGGCTCACCCTTGATACAAGGGAGAATGGCTCGCTGTTGGATAGCAGAGGGTTTCTCAAAACCGTAAGCGTAGATTCCTCGCAGGAGGGACTCTGACAGGTTCATATCGTCAAAGCTGTCGACAATCTCATTCCAGTTGCTCTATGGGGAGAAGGGGGCACAAGATCAGCCTCCGCGCCCCAGGAACCCCACCCCTCCCCAAAGGGAAACTGTAGACACCCCCGCTCACACACACCAACTCTTCTTAAGCAGAAAACCAGGTATATAAATAAAGCTTCATAGGACTATAGGATCAAGGCCCAGGCCAGGCTTCCTGCCACCCCCAAGTGGGGTGAATCCATGGAGTCCCTCCCCTACTACACCATTCCTAAGTGGAGGGGGAGAAAGCCACCCTTCTTTGGGAGGGGGAGGGTGCAATCCTTCAGTGGAACTAGAATCCCAAGGCCTGGGCCAGGCTTCCTGCCACTCACAAGTGGGGTGAATCCATGGATGTGTGTATGGACTAGATGACCTACAAGGTCCCTTCCAACTCTGTTAATCTAACCTCCTCCCCTATTATACCACCTCCTACTTTGGGGGGGG